TATATATATGGAAAATATATATGGAAAATGGAAATGGAAAGTTAAAAAATTATTATATAATAATTTAAAAATTGCAATAGAAAAATAATTTAAAAATTGTAATAGAAAAGAAAAAGAGAAGTTTATATATATATATATATATATGTAGAAAATGGAAAGTTGAAAAATTATTATATAATAATCCAAAAATTGTAATAGAGAAATAATTTAGAAATTGTAATAGAAAAGAAATAGAGAGGTTTAAGATGATTTTTAATTTTTTATACTAGATAATCTGGTATTTTTATGTATGAAGATAATTAATTTGATAGTTGTAGTAGGGCTCTATTATGATTCTGTAGGGCCATCTTTCTTCCTTTTTTGAGCTTTTTATGCGTCTTTGCATTTAGCATTGGATAGATCCCATACAATAACTGTCATAGTTATACCTTATCTTTTATTTCAATTTTTCGGTAATAATCACAAAAAATTTAAATTATAGATACAAGAATCCAAATTCAATACATAATTTTAGTATTCAAAGACTATTCTTTTAGAATCTAATTTTTTAGTTATTAAACCCATTTTTTTTACCAAGTTCTATATTAATAAGATATTAATATTAGTTAATCTTTATTTGTTAGTAAATAAATATAAAATAGCAAATTAATATAAACAGTAATAAATATAGAATATAGAATAATATATACGAAGAAATTTGCCCACCTCCTACATATTTGATGGTCTTCTCCATCAAAAAACTTGTAATACCTATCCCATTTGAAATTCCATCAATTATTTTTTTGTAGAAATAGTATTCTTTCTTATTTCGACGATCCTTAATATTGAACAAGGAGGATTTTTTAAATTCTATTTTTTAAAAAGAGGATTTTTTAATTGAGTATAAAGGAGTAAGTGAGTAAGTAAGTAAGTGAGTAAGTGAGTAAGTGAGTAAGTGAGTAAGTGAGTGAGTAAGTAAGTGAGTGAGTGAGTGAGTGAGTGAGTGAGTGAGTGAGTGAGTGAGTGAGTGAGTGAGTGAGTGAGTAAATAAGTAAGTGAGTGAGTAAGTAAATAAATACGTAAATAAGTAAATAAATATAAATAAATAAATATATATATATATATATAAATAAATAAATACATAAATATATATATATATATTACACCGTTCAATATATGTAAATATAACCGTTAAATTGAAAGTTCTTTATTCTTAGATTATATATATATATATATAATTTTATAAGATGATTTGATATTTCATTTTTATAAAATAAAATTACGTAATATATTCATTTTAAAATTTATTAAAATATGAACATTTTGATTATCTTCAAGTTGTAACATTTTATACAATATTCATCTTCAACTTAAAAATCAACATACATCTCAATTTATGAAATATAATCATATATAATCATCATATGTCATCATTTTATGAATAAGATTCAATTATTGTCAATATAAATCAATACAACTTGTAAAGATACACACAAATATCAAGTTTCACAAAAAAAACAAGGGTCTCATTAGGTGAAAGATAACTTCATTGGACGTCCAAAACTCTTTGGTGCCAAAATCATCAAATCTCAACTTTCTTAGGTCAAAATTTTTACTTTTGAAAATTCCTACATCTCAATTTAGAAAAACAACATCAATCTCAACCATTGAGCCACTATGATGTTAAACAACATCAACAACTTAAAAAAAAATTAAAAGAATCAAAATACAAGCTTTCTTACCTCAATTACATCACAAAACAAGAAGAAAAGAAGAGGATGGAGAAACCCCAAAACCCTCTGTATGGTGACTTCTCCATAAGATTTTTAATTTCTTAGCTTGAATCTCCATCTCAACTACTCAAACTCGGTTTTAGGGGAATTTAGATGCTCCTAGTGAAGTTAGAAGAAGTAAAGATCTTCCTTGGCTACACTCAGAGCTTATCCCTTTAAAACTTCTATCTAGAATGCAGAGAAATGAACTTATGATATTCATGTTCTTTGAAAACCTTAAATATTTTTTTCCCATTTTTGGTTAACTTTAACCTTAACTTAAGCATCTCTAAATAACTTAACTCTTAAGGATCATTTGAACCTTAGAGTCAACTTTCAAGAATCATTGGAAATAAGCAGATTGTTAATTATAAAAGTAAGTATATATATAAATAAAGATTAATTAAATATAATATAATAATTATTATTGGTAATATAATTACTATATATATTATTATATTTTTATAATGGTCCGGACACATCAGAATGAGAGGATCCAGAGATAGTACAAGTGTGAGATTGTATAGTTGAGGATAACTTAAATGAATTAATTTGTACCTATACTAACAATATGCATCTATTTTTTAGTAGCTTATCTCATCAGAACTCCACAGTTAAGTGTGTTTGACTTGAAGTAATATAGGGATGGGTGACCTTTTAGAAAGTTTTACAGAAATTGTGCAAGTAAAGACAAAACATACTAAAAAGTGCAAAATATAAGGGGTGTTACATTTAATAAATTTATTAAAATTAAACAGAAATTTTTTGACAATTTTTTTTTCGACGCCTCTTTTTTTTACGGATTTGCATTTGTCCGTTAGAAATTTACATTTCTTCTTATAGTGTTTATAGGTCACCATGGTCTAGTCATTATATTGGACACATTTATGTTTTGAACTTATTTTATTTTGAATCGTATGTTAGTCCTCAATCCTTAGAAACTTTTTATGAACTATTATTTATTTCAAGCAAAGATTTATTCAAATGAAATTGTTTTGTTTCATTAGTATTTATGAGTATGGGTATTGCTTGGTAGAAAGAGTCACAAATGATGTGTGGGTATTTCCTGTAATTTTTTTTATTTTCAATCATTTCATTATATTATTAATGTAATATTGTAATATTTTCATTAACATGACATGTTATGTTTATGTGACACAAATGATATGACATTTTGATAATGTAATACATGATAACATTAACAAACTAACATTTTTACAATAATGTTTGACAAAAAAAAACAAAATGAAACTTTGGATTTTATAGAGAAGATTAAAAAAAAGTTAAAATTATAAGAACAAAAATAATTTTTAAGCCTAATGTATATCATTTATCATAGGTATTTTTTTTATAAAAAAATGTTTGATTAACTAATACGTAATTAAAATAAAACTTGAGCTAAATCTTGACCATTAAAATAAAACAATCTAGCTCGGTTAAGGGTGGAAATGAGTCAACCTAAGTTGAGCTCAATTCATATTAGCTCAACTCAATAATATTTGATTTAGGTTATAACTTGACTCGAGTTTGATATAATTTTTTTAAGCTCAAACTTGTCTTCGTTCAAAAATGCAAACAACTCGTTTTAGCTTGTTAGTTTGAATTACATTGACCAAGAGTTAAAAATTTCAATTTATTAATAGATTTTAGATAAAATAATTGTTTAAGTTTTTTGAAAAGACAAAATAGAATTTATGCCGATAACTTTGCAAAGCTACAACGATCTAAAAAATAAAATATAATTACAATTAAAATTTGTATAAATAAAAACTACTCCACCTTACACAAAATAATTGAAAAATCAGTTCACAACCATGAAACTCTAAGGTATCTGCTTCTTATAATGTTATTAATATATAACTATTTTTTTAAAGGTTCTTTCAACTTTAAAAACTTTAATAAGCTGAAATTAAATAAAAAGTCAATTATATATTTATATGCTTAATCGATTCATAAATCAAACAAGTTAAACTGTATGCAACTTAAGTTTAATTTATTTATTTATCGAGTTCAATTTTTAGTTCAAGTTCATCTCATTTGTTCCATGAACCACGTACAATTAACTAAATATTGAATTAAATTTTGAACTACTTTTGTGTTAGTTTAGTTTATTGTCACCCTTACGGTGTCAATTAAAAATAATAAAATCATATTGATGTAAATTTTATTAATTATTTTTTCTTTCAATACTAGTCTTTCTCTCTCTCACACACATGCACGCATATTATAAAAGAATTATGCACTTTGTAAACATTTCACTCTTTACTCTCTCACATTTATTCTCTCATTTGAATACTATTATCTCATGAAGAAGTGAACTTTACCCTCCTAACATGTAATTATTATTTTTACATATCAAATGAATCTATTATTTAGTCGAGAGGATATAAATATTAAAAGGAAACATGTATTTTGCCTTAAAAATTAAAATGAATCACATTCAATGAGCTAAATATTAAATCAAGTTTCCAACTACTTTTGAATTAATTTATTTCATTACCACCCTTACTTGGTGTCAATGGATCATATATATATATATATATATCTATAAGATCAAATTACATTTATGTAATTTTTAGTAACTATTCATTGTTTAATATTATTCTCTCTCTTTCTCTCACACACACATTATAGAATAATTATCTACTTTGTAAACATTTTTTTTTACTCTCATATATTCTCTCATTTAAAAATTATTATCTCATAAAGAGGTAAACTTTACTCTCCTAACATGTAATTATTATTTTTTCATGTCAAATGAAAAATATATTATTTTGTAGAGAGTATGTAAATATAAAAAAGAAACATGTATTTTGCTTCAAAATTACAATATTATCCTTCTACATTATTTTTATATTTATTTTAATATTTTTTTATCTCTTTAAATATATTATTTTTATATTCATTTCAATATTTTCAACTATTATTTCTTTAAATATATATTTTCATAATATTTTCATATTTATTTCAATATAATTTTATATCATGATATAAATTACTTTTTTAAAATATAAAAAATAATTTACATATTTTAAACTATTTATTTATTACAAATTTTGATTATAATACAATATATATAATAAAAAATATTTATTTTTTAATAAATTTAATTATATAAAATAAATATTTAGCCTTTATGTTGCATGTATTAACTAGTTTAAACTCTTATTCAAAAATCTCTAATTAAATAAATGAGTGATTGAATTGGGATACTTTTAGCTTGGCCAGTATTTCTGAATTTTAGTATTAAATAGAAAGAGTTATGTAGTATTATTGTTTTAATTAATAAATAAATTAAAGTTATTTAAATGATAAATTAATTTTTAAATTTGAATTCAAGATTTTGAGATTCAATAATTAATTATAATATTTCAGTTGGATTAATATATTTTTATTATTTAATTTAAAATTTATTTTATTTTTAATAAAAATATAAAATATTTTATCTCATTAATAATTATAAAATTAGAAGATAAAAAAAATATAAAATTATGAGTAGAGAAATAATAACAAAAAGAGTAGAAAAGAAAAACAAAACATTGGATACAGAGGGTTCTAGATTTATAGTGAATTTTAGGATATGGAAGTGGATGGCATAGGGTAGGTATTGAGGAGATGATTGAACTTGTAATGTGAAGATGTTGGTTAAAATTCAAACAAATTGGTTTGTCCCAGCCTTTCCACACAAGAATAAGGGTTGTTTTGTGTTGAGTAAGTGCGTGTTATTCAGGCATCCTCCTCCACTTGAAATCAGCAACGATAAAGCAAGAAGAGGAAGAAGATCAAATTGGCATTGGCGTTGTGGATCGGGGGAGGCACAGACAGTCTCTGAATGGGAAGTGCAGGAAGCTCGTGCGGCTGTTTCAAGTTATCTTCGAGAATTGGGGGTGTCGAAGGAGGATTCGGTGTCCATGGCGTCAAAGTCACCTGGTTATGTGAAGATGTTGGTGGAAGGTGTGAAGGATTTGGAGCAGTGGCAGTGGGATGAACGAATTATGGCCTTCAGCTTCAAGGACAAGATTATTCACATGGCCGTTCAAAAAGGCGACAAAGGCAAACTTGCCTACTTAGAGACTCTGGGTTTCTCTCTCTCTTCCTCTATGAATGTCGCTACATATCTCTCCGCTCACACCCTCCCATCTCTTATGCACAAGGTTACGCGCATGAAGCAACTCTTCTTTTCTGCACACTCCCAGGGTGACTTCCACTTACTTGTAAAAAACATTCGCCTCATGATGCGTCACTTATCTATTTCAGCTGATGAAGACCTGCAACACACTTTGTCCTTTTTCGAAAAGCTTCAAGCTAGGCGTGGTGGTCTAAACATTTTAGCTTCCGAACATGCCGCTTTCCGTTGCTTAATCGAATCATTTCCTCGTCTACTTCTGTTATCAGTAGACAACCACTTCACACACATACTGGATTTTCTACATAATATTGGAATCCCCACATTTCGCATCTCCAACATAATACTAGCTTTCCCTCTTCTTCTCTTCTGGAATCTTCAACTCCTTAAAACCAGACTCCTCGCCTTGAACCAGGTTTACACTGCCCTTTCATTCAATTCTTCATAAACTGATTTCAACATCATAAATCCACCCACGATATTAATGCCTATTTCTGCCTTGAATTATCATTTTTTTATAGATCGATGTGCCTGGTAAAGATTATGCGAAGTTGTTGCTAAAATATCCTTGGGTTCTATCTGCAAGTATTCAACAGAATTATACGGAGGTTCTTGCCTTTTTATATTCTGTTCAGGTACGATTCTGTTGCATCATGGTTGCATGTGTCCTCTTTGCTTGTAACTATTTTTATTCACCAATCTCCTCTTTGATTATGTTCAAAATTCTTCACATCTTCAGGATTGTAATAAGTAGTCGAATAAGTCTATCTTTTCCTGTTATGGGACTTCCATTGAACCTTTTTTATTTTACATTGTGAAAGCTTTAGCATGCAGATGCTAATTTGAGAAATCCAGCACAGTTAAGTGTGCATGCTTTCTTTTTGTATATATTTACCTGGTATATTGATATGAAAGCCCCAGTCACAATCATATGACTGATTAGGGCTTATGGCTTGGTCCTATCAGTGCCTTGTTAAGAATTCAATTTGTTCCACGTGTATATGCTTGTATGTTTTCATTAATTTGACTGGAAGAGGGATTTATAGACGCTGGACTAGTAATAGAATGCTTCATTTTAGGTTCAGAAGACTTGGATAGACCGTGCAATTGAAAGCCACCCTCATCTATTGAGTTGTTCAATTAGCAAGCTGAAGTTGATGATAGATCAGTTTGCTGAACTAGGAGTTCGAAACAAAAAGTTGAATCAGGTTATTGCTAAAAGTCCCCAACTATTACTACGGGAGCCCAAAGACTTTCTACAGGTATTTATTTTTAGCTTCAATCAAATATATGATATGTAACAGAGATGTTATAAAAGCATAAAATCATTAATGCATGTTCAATGAACAACATATGCTTTTGAGACAGCATGTTCATGGCATGGTATTAGAGTCTTTATGACCATGTGGTCTAGAGTTCAAACCTTGATTCACCCATTTTTCTAATTAAGAAAAGGTTTGAAATTAAGCACTTGGTAAGGCAGCTTGTGCACTATCTACCTCTTATGTGAGGGGGCAAATTAGGGAGGTTATAATAATAAAATAAAATAAAAAATCCATGTGTCATTTAGAAAGGTCTTGTCATTCTCATTTGGTGGTAATCATCGGGTATTTCTTCTTGAAGTGAAGACTTCAAATTCAAAGCATTTAGATAATTGAAGGCTTTCCCACTTTGAGAGGTTGGGTGATTCTCATTTGGATGTGCTGATCTTTACCTTTTGAATTCATTTCGGAGTGACTCAGGATATAGAATTAGATTATGCGGGATTTTCTTGGGTTTGCTGTGGGCGAACAGAGAAGAAATAATTTTGTTGGCTCATTGGTTGTTTCAGGCTAATGATAGAATGGTGCTTGATCTTTGGGAATTTGGTGTCTAAAAGCATTGCTTTGGTGGCAATGTGGCTACCGCACTTTCCTTAAAAACTATCTTGTCATGGCATCAAGTAATATGGAGTAAGTATGGCGTAGATAAAAATTAGTGGATGCCAACCAATTATCATTGCAATCCTTGCAAGTTCTTCTTGTAGATCACCGGTTTATTTCAACTTGGGTGGTGATACCTTTATTAAGTTTTGAAAAAACAGTTAGTGCGGAATGAATATGCCTCTCTGAGAGGCTTTTGCTTGAATTTAACAACTCTAAAAAATTATGTTATGAACCCTCCCGTAGGATTGATTCAGGGGCCTAGAAAGAATAATCCTTCTAGCAACCTATGTTGGAAGCAAGAAGCAGAGTGGTCCTTGACAAAGCCCCTTTTAGACTATTACAAGTTGTTTTGAAAATTATTTCTCATCGGTAATATTCCAATCAAATCTTTCCTTCAAAGAAACTTTGAAGATATCTAATTAATAGGATCATAACTAACAATTATCCTAATTAAAAAAAAATCCCTAATTAATGAAACCATAACTATAAATTATCCTAATAGAAATAATAATGATAATAATATGAAATCAAGGATTCTGATATGCAGATTGTATTAAGATAGAACAAGATAAAGGAACAAAATAAATTGAAATAAATCAAGATTTAAATAAAGAGATATTCTAATCCTAATTAGTGGTCCACATCAAATTCATCCATTAACAATATCTATTCATTTCATGTCTCCTGAAGTTCCCTTGAAGATCACCCTTTTTTATTCTCTAAGCTTTATGATTTGTACCAATGATTTGTTGCTGATTTGTTGACTTCTCCCCTTCTCTTTCTTCTAGCATGTTTTATGTGCAGTTAAGATTTAGAGAGAGAACGTTTATTTTTTTCATTGTAAGGCATCTAATTTCTGTAAATTAGTGGTTTGAGGGATCTTGGATAGCATTGTGTTTCTGTGATTTGGAGTATGCTTTGATGGTTTACTACACAGGTTTCGGTTAAAAAGGAGCCTGCAGATGTGGTAGTATGCATTGCTGTTACTGTTTTTTTGTGGGTTATACCTCTGTAAGGGGTACAAAGGCTAGATATATAATAACCATTCACTAGCTTGAGGGGAATAATTGTAGTAGTCCCGCTAATTACTTATAAATTATTATAGATTAGGACCGGTTGTTTGTTGCTATAAATTTAGCCATTTTTAGGAAAGTATTTAAGCTGTTTAGTCTATATAATGTATCACCTTGTACAGTTTTATTATAAAACAGTAGTAATATTCAGAGATTTTTCATTCAAGTCTCTTGATCATTGTTACCCACAGATTGTTTTGTTGTTTGAAAATATGGATTTTGATAAACAAACTATCGGGAGAATACTTGCCCGCTGCCCTGAAATTTTTGCTGCCAGCATTAATAAAACACTACAGAGGAAGATCGAGTTCCTTGGCAGGGTTGGTGTTTCTAAAACTTTCCTTGGCGGGGTTATCAGAAAGTATCCAGAATTACTTGTTTCTGACACTGACAAAACTTTACTACAAAGGTATTGCTGTGACTCGTCTTTTTTTTTTTCTTTTTGCTTACCGTTGTTCTGGTATCATATTTGTTTACTCTTACCCAATCAATATATATACATTTCCTGGGCACCTTGTGTCATTTTCTGGCAGCAAGTATCTTCTATTATAAAATAATTCCTAGTGCTTTAGATTTTTGAATGATATAACCATGATATTGTTCTGATGCAATTCAGTTTTCTCTGGTCATTATATATGAAAATTAAAATAAAATACAATTTTCCAATTTATTTAACTGCATCATGACTGCTCATAAATGTACATTGCATAAACAGAAAAGTGAAACATGAACCTTGCTTCTGACCTTGAGCGATTAAGGTATCATTTTGTTTATTATCTAGTAATTTGATTTATTGATGCTCTGTAGGATAATGTACTTGATGAAGTTAGGGCTTTCAGAGGAAGACATTGCATATATGGTACGTACATTTTCTCCTCTTCTTGGGTACAGTATAGAGGGGGTTCTTAGGCCAAAAATAGAATTCCTTGTGAACACAATGGAGAGGCCAGTAAGAGATGTGGTGGGCTACCCTAGGTATTTTAGCCATTCACTAGAAAAGAAAATAAAGCCAAGATATTGGGTGTTGAAAGGAAGGGATATCAAATGTAGTTTAAAGGATATGCTGGCAAAAAATGATGAAGAATTTGCTGCTGAATTTATGGGTATCGGAAGGATGCTCGTCCGTCCTCCTGTGTCTTTTGACGATAGCCTGTAAAGATAATGATAGTATTTTATTTTTCGGTGTCATTTCCCTTGTAGAAATTCAGCTTATCACATCATATTCTTCTGTGTCTCTTATAATCATTTTCTGAAAGAAATTAATTCTATCGATTACAGTAAAAATCAATCTTTAGTTTCTTTAAAACAAAAAAGTGGACACCAAATTTGAGAAATTAATATATAAATAGTCGAAGTGCGTTTACATCATCTATGCACACTGCTTCGGCCTAGCTCTTTTCACTACTAAGTAAACGTGACACAAATTGGGTTTGAGTTTATGATGATGAGAATAAACCTAGTGTTCTGATACCCAGATCTTAAATAAATTTTTATAATTATCATTAAAAGAACTTAAAAAGAAAAATAAAAAACCAAATCAATTTTTTTAGTAACATAAGATTATTTAAGACCGTTAGAGTAAGAAACTAGATCGTTTAGGATTTGGATTTTGACTAAAGTAACTTTTGATGCAAAAATCTTTCAGGTAAAATTTATATGCAAAAATATCAAATATAAATAAAATTTGTAAGTTATTTATTTGATGAATTTGGTGGTTTAATGGTGAAATCTATTTTAACTACTTAGAGACTTCGTTCAAGTCCTAACTCCCTTAAATTTTCAAAATTATACAAAAAGTAAAATGTAATGTGGCACGTGACATCCATGTGACTGTCAATATGGCACTTACTATGTCAAGCCACATGTTAATCGATAATGTTAATGATCAAGTGACAAGAGAGACAACTAACGGGAAGAATTAGTGATTAATTTGTAATTTTTAATATCTCGGGCGCTACTATAAAAGTGTCACAAAATCAAGAATTAAAGTGACACTTTTTGTTTTGTACGTACTAAAGTTGTGCTTTACACTTTATATTTATTACTTGATTTTAGAAACACTCGAACTGATCAGAAAGAAAAAAATATCCTTTGAATTCCATTTTATTTATAGTTAAAGTTTTAATTTTATAAAAAGGAATAAAAAAAAGTACAATTCCTTAATACAATATAGATCAAAAATAGTTTTAAAATAGATTAAATATATGCAGCATTTTTAAACAAAATGTTTAATAATGATACACAATGTAAAATGTTTTATACGATCATATAATCAAATATCATTATTGATGACTTTTAAAAATATTTTACACTTTAAATACATCACCAATAAATCCTTTTTAAGAGTTAAATTGCAAAATTTCATGTTTATAGGAAAAAAAATGTAGAAAACTGTTAAACAACATTAAGATCGGATTACAAAAAAATATTATGTTCTAAGGTTGCAACACAATTAAATGAGTAACATTATAATTATTCAAAAGATTAAATTTAATTGTGTATGTATATATATATCACCCAATTATATAAATTGATATTGAAATAAAGTATTTAATTAACTAATCCATCGGGAAAGAGAGAAAATAAGTTGTATAATGCATCCGGTTATTCCTTTTCTTCACCCGCGAAGAATATATCTGCATCCTCTCTAAAATGACTAGAATGAAACAACAATGATAGGTGCGGACGTATACCCATGATCTGAAAAAACATTATGAACAAAATCTCTTGCATTTACACATCTGCCCCTATATATACAAATAGTTATTGTTCATCGTTACATGAAATCACTTTCAAGTTTCGGGAGCCTCCACATTAGAGAACAATGAAAATCCACTCATTATTGCATCGTCGATGAGAAATCATCAGATATGAGCAGCAAAAAATCTTCATCCAAGTAAGGTAATTCAAGATGGTGACCACAAAAAGAACCATGAAAAACTTCAGCCTTAGTCCTCATAACAAAATTGTTCCTTCCTTAATCCCATGCTCATTGATCTGGTCTTGCTGAAAAAGTGGTTCAAATTCAGGGGAAAATGCAAATAACAAAATTGTGTGTGTGATATCTTTCATCCATGCTTCCAATTTGTGGTTAGAGAAAACACACAATATGTGCCATGTAATACAAATTACAATCATAGGAAATAGAATCGAAAAGCTAACACCAGAGACAGACGATACATTTATGCAATCAACCTGCCCCTCCTTAACCACAACTAGGTATATACATCTTCTGTTCCTTTATATCATCTTTGGATAACATAATGTAAAATAAAGCACCTCCAAATACATGCAAGTACAGGTAAGAAAAGAATACAAAAGATACTTCAACCACGTTATTCCTCAATACCACTTTTAGCTAAAAGCAGATAATCATTTAATTAAACAATGACACAAATATTGGCATAACAAGAGGGAATATCACCTGTTTTTTTTTTTTAAAGTGAAAGAGGGGGAGAGAGAGAGATGAGTAAAGCTAGAAAAGAAAACCTAGAAGAAAGACTTTTTATCAAGGCTCCAGAATCTGGATTTTCATGGAATACTTGCATTCAAATCAACTAAAAATAGATAAATCATACAAAATTAGTAAGCATAGTAGAAGTTTACCACTTTTGGTCTTAGGTGGCTTGGTACTCCCACCAGCAATAGATGAGGAAAAAGGCCTTTTTGCAGAAACTCTTGTCAATGTCTCGTCCTTCTTTGCAGATATTAAAGATGAGTAAAGAATAGCATCAACAGCTTCACGCTGCTGTTTCCTTTTTGAAATTTCAGCATCTTTACTTTGATTAGGAGCAGTACCTTGAACAACTGCATCTCTCTCTTTGTGACAGCCTTTTGAGGAAGCAGAAATTTCTGTAGAACTGCTCCTATTCCCTCCAGGATGCATAGTAACTCTTTCAGACACTGAAAGTTTTGATGCCTTATGCCCACCTCCTGTCTTTTCCACTGGATAGTCTAAATTATTCCTTGAATGTCGAAATTTTAATTGTCTTTTACCCAATGTTGTCTTTTCCATGCTAATGTTCAATTGATCTTTGCCTTCTTTTCCCCCATTACAAATCTTTTGACCTGACATTGTAAAGATGTCACCACAGGAGCTTCTGCTTTCATATTTTGCAACTTTATCCATATCCTCTGTAATGGAAATATGTTCATCTTCAGATTTCTTTTCCTTACATGGAGCATCATTTCCCGAAGCTGAAAAGGTATTCTCATCCCCATTACCCTTATTGCTATCCCTGACTTCAGAGGCAACACATTTCTTTTTCCTCTCAATGGAATCCTTGCCATGAACCAAACTTTCTCTTGCAAAGCAGCCACTATCCTTAACCTTCTTCTCATGCTTCAATAGTCTTGCATGATTATCAGAATTTTCAACGAGGTACTTATTTTTATCTGTTTTAAATATTGAATGATATGGCATCTTAGACATCATGATCAAGTTTCTTTCTTTAGCATCCTTCAGAAGAGCAGCCCAATTCTGGTTAGACTGTAAAGTTCTTGCATTACCGAAAATCCAAAGTGATAGCCTGGCCCTTGTCAAGGCAACATTCATCCGTCTTACATCAGCAACAAATCCAATAGAGTTTGAGTTGATTTCGGAAGTAATGCCTGAATACGCTGCTCTTACAGTAGAAAGTAACAATATATCCACCTCTCTACCTTGAAAACCATCCACAGTGTTAAATTCAATATCGGCTATGCTCAAAGGTCCAAATGCTTTAAGAAAACGAGATCGCAGAAGAGAAAGTTGACTCTTGTATGGAGTTATCACGCCAATTCTTCCACCAACAAATTCAGCTGGGAACCTTATGAGGCATTCAGTGTTTAATAAGCAAACATCATAATAAACAGAAGTAAAAGAGAAACAGAGTAAATTTGGACCTTTTCTTGAAAAACTTTAGTACTTCAACCGCAGCATCAGCTTCATGTTCATTACAAAGCGACATTACACCAGAGTTTTTCCCACGAACCTCCTGTCCATCAATGATATCATAGAACACATATGGCCCAAGACCCTTGGTCTGATGAAATGGTGCTGATTTATTAGAAATTTGGCTTCCATTCAGTAATTTGTTGTCATAGAAATGCAATGAAGGGAACTTGCATATCTCTGGATGCATTCTATACTGCCAGCGAGAAAAATCATAAAGGGGTTCAGCTTTCAACCATAAAACAGGACAACGTAAACATATAACACCCTATGCCAACAAAACACACGTTTATATTACAAGACTATCAGTGACCTTAGACATCTTTGGTAGAACCCATTTTATATTTTAAAAAGGTTTATTTGTAGCATATTCTAGAATAAGCTAGCAAATATCTTAGGATTCATTTCTCTATGTTAAGATAATTATATAAGATATAGTTTAGATATACGTGTTCAAAAGGGGTACCGCTGTTACTCTCCAGCTACACATCGGTTTTACATTAGTTTAGATATACTAGTTTATCTAAACTATATCTTATAGAATTATCTTAACACTCTATTTTATTAATTTTCTTGTTTTCTAATATTTTACGATTTGCTTCCTTGTTTGTTAGTATAAATATCAGAGATCACATCACATTTTATTGTAATATTTTTCTTTTATCTCTTCTGTCCCGTTATACCTAAAACCCCACAACTCCAACAATAACCATTATGATTTTAATAATATATGCGAGAAAATATTAACAGAGAGGACAGAATGTCCTCCTAAGTAAAAAAAAATTACAAAACAAACTAATTGATTCATAATCAAAATTAAAAGAGCTCTTTGATTTGATCTGATTGCATATTCATTAATATGATTCCCTTAAGAAAACCTTGAGCAGAGCATCAAAGGGATGAAAAGCAAATTTAAATATTGAAAATTCACTTAAAAATTCAAGTCATTCTCCTTCAGCCAAATACCCTAAATGCATGCATTATACAGCCACCATAAACTCCTTGCATTCTTTGAAGGTTCTGAAACTAATTGAAAGAAACAACTCCAAAACTCCCCAGAAGTACAAAAATGAAAGCATTTGTTCCAAATAGATTAATGCATAAGCATCACATAAACCTATCCCAATAATAAGATTTCTTATATCTTTTTCAGTATCACTTGTCAATTCACATTCCTTAAAAAAAAAATAAAGTTGTTTCACCGTTGTTTAAGTTGTTCGAATCATACCATAAGGAAAAAAAAAACACAAACAAACAAACTTTCCTACTAGTCGGGGTTAGCTACATGGATCAAACAACACCAATGTACTCTTCCAAAAACCAAACTTTGATGATTGCTCTCAGATCCACCTTAATGTATGGCATGCAATGAAGCTTCAGAATGATAGTTTCCAAAGTACATTTTACTTAGCAGCAAACTATGTACCTGTTCAGTAAGCATAATAACTGGATGTCCAGCCTTCTGTAAACGCTCAAACATGCTACACTCATAAAGAAATTTACTTGCAACATTTGAGAGGACAGTTGCAGGAAGCTGCTTAGGGTCACCAACCTTGAATAAATTACAAAGGTCAGTTTAACTATTTACCCTATACCATAAGTTTAAAAGTTTTTGGTTAGTACTCCTACCATAATGCACTTGGTTCCACTTGACTTCAAAAGCTGAAGAGGAATCAGAGTAGCTGGCTCAAGAGCCTGTAGCAACGAAAATTTGTCAGCAAGTAAAAAAAAGAAAGTAGAGGGTTGCAGCTAATTTAATAGAAGAAAAGAGAGATATATATACTTGGGCAGCTTCATCAATTACAACAGCATCAAATAGGGTATGTTCAGATGGACCACCAAACTTGGAGTTTAACATTCTCTCAGAGCATATCCCATAAAGATCCCCACCACAGCCACTTAAAGTAGTTACCACTATTTCAGCTTCCTTTAGTATAGACTTCCGCAGCTTATTCCTAAGAGTCCTGGTTTCTTCATTGGCTCTCTTCTCCTGAGCCTGAACGTTACAAAGATCTTTATATATTTGTCTTTTTTGCTCATATAGTTTACGTAGCTTCATTTCAATTTCTATCTCAGACATTTCTTTCTCATTTGCCGTATGAGAGTCATTATGTTGATGACTTTTGACATTAGAATTCCCATCCCTCGAGTTAGCACGCTGGGATTCATAGAACCTAATAGAATCAACTAATTTCTCTAATTTTGCCCGAAGCATGGCTGATGAATCATCCCTCGAATCATTCTTCCCATCATTTGAATGCATCCTCTCTTCTGCTACACGTTGATCAACAAGTGTATCAATAAAAAATGGTAGTGAATTTTGATGAACTGTTTTTGCATTTCCAACCCTCACAAGATATGGCTTGTACATTTTCCCATTACTTCCATAAAGACCATGGCTAGAAATTCTTGCCACCAACTCATCCACTGCAGCATTGGATTGAGCACAAATAAGCACTCTTTGTCTCACAAAATTTCCAAAAGATTTTGATGAATTTTGCATATCATCACCCAACTGTCTAGCCAAGGCTGCATCCTGCCATGCCCTTGCAATGGCAGAACTCTGGCTAATCTTTGGTCTTGAATAGGTAGAAGAAGAATTTTGGTACGCATTTTCCTTAAAATGATTTTTTTCACATGTCACCTTCTGTTGAGAAGCTAGAAGGGCACTGACGATTGCAACAATAGTTCGAGTCTTCCCAGTTCCTATATTTACATAAATATATTGTGCAAATTAACAAAAAATCAAAAGTACAAAAATGACAAGATCTGCCTGGTAAAGAGAAAGCTCGAAGTGGATCAACTACCTGGAGGACCCTGAATAAGAGATAATCCAACAGATTTGTTTGCTTTAGCCCTTTGAATAGCAACACTTATTGCTTGAAGTTGACTTAAATTAAAAGATGACCTCAGAGTTTGCTGCAATGACTGGCACAAATTATTGAGATCTACTTCTTTACATTCATTAAGACAAAAGGAATCATCAACAGGATTAAGAATGAGAGGAAGCAAGGGAATGTCTTTTATTGATGACAAAGCATGAAATTCTCGAATTTGTGGGGTAATGCTCATTATACGGCATGCATGCCATTTACTTCGTTCAGTGAGATTCCTTCTAGCTTGATTTAATCGTGAAGAACCATTTTGAAAATAGAACCTGATGAGAATAATACTTGAACTTCTTTTATTGTCTTTCTCCCGCCTTTCAACCTGCAAAAACATATAAATGCTTCAACATGACAGAGATTTGTTTGTCAGAACTATCTTTCCGTTTGATGAAATTCTATTTACCACCAAAACAAGATGTTAATTTTATTTCAGCTTGTTGTGATTCAGGAATTGTGTGTATTGTTGTACATATATCAATCTTATTTATAGAGTGAATACAATAAATGATAGAGATACTAATCTCTAATATTATGAAAACTAATCTAATCATATCCTTAATTGATAGTGAGGATAATAACCATAATATATATATCCATAATATTTGTAATATATTTACAATATCTGTAACACTCCCCCTCAAGCTGGAGCATATATATCATATGCACCAAGCTTGTTACAAATGTAATCAACCCGAGACCCTTTAAGCGATTTTGTGAACACATCTGCTAACTGGTCACCGAAGGCGGTCGGAGGCAGCTATCGAAAGCGGCGGTCGGAGTCGGCGGCCACTTGAAGCGACGGTCGGAGTCGATGACCGGAAGCGGCGGTCGGAGGTGGCGATCGGAGTCGGCGGCCACCTGAAGAGACGATCGAAGTCGGCGAATGGAAGCGGCTATCAAAAGCGAAAGTCGGAGTGGGCGACAAGAAGCGGCGGTCGGAGGCGGCGACCGGAGGCGGCTATTGAAAGCAGCGGTCAGAGTTAGCGACCGGAAGTGGCGGTCGGAGTCGACAACCGGAAGCGGCAGTCGGCAGCGCGGCGATCAGAGGCGACGGTCGACGGTCAGCGATTTTGTAATCAATCTGAGGTCCTTTAAGAGATTTTGTGAACACATCTGCTAACTGGTCACCGAAGGCAGTTGGAGGCGGCGGTCGGAGGCAGCGACCGGAAGCAGCAACCGGAAGCGGCGGTCGGAGGCAGTGACCAGAGATAGTGGTCGGAGTCAGCGACCGGAGGCGGCGATTGGAACCGGCAGTCGGAGTCAGCGACTGGAGGCGATGATCGGAAGCAGCGGTCGGAGTTGGCGACCAAATGCGACGGTCGAAAGCGGCGACCGAAAGCGGCGGTCGGAGACAGCTATCAAAAGTGACAGTCAGAGTCGGCGACCGGAAGCGAGTTCGGAGGCGACGGTCGTTGACAGCATGGCGACTAGAGGTGGCAGTCTGAGGTGACAACTGGAGGCAGCGACTAGAGGCGGCGGGTGGGGGGGCG